AGGGGATGAAATATATGTCAACACCATCTTTCGAATTCCCGGCGTGGGGGTGCAAGCCATTCCACAAAAAGAGAGACTTCCACAATATTCCGAACTGAACGGACGTGACCCTTGCACGCTCCGGGACATAGCTAGCCGATAGTGTAACGCTCTAACTTAAAGCTAAGAATACATTAATTTAACAGTGTGGTGAATTAGCAGGTGAATAAACGTCAATTGGCTCAACTCTCAGAAAAACGCTTTCTTCGGCATCGCTACCCTGAGACTCATGCGAACCGACCCAGCTAGTTTCCCGTGCCTATACCGATCTTCCTTAGTTTGATCTGTGAGGACAACTTCCAGTAGCCATCATGCACTGTCCTAAGGTAGAAACAGGTGTAGCAGGGATAGCACCATTCCGACTGCGCCGATACAAGCAAAGGCGGGTTGGAAAAGAGCGGTGTTACTCAGTTGAACCCATTTTGTAGAGCTACTTCCGATCACTAGATCTCTCAAAAGTCATTTTTAAATAAAAGAAAACAAAAACAGGGCGATGGATAATACACAAAAAGTCAAGAATTATACGTATCAATATATCATCGTCACGATCTTTTAGATCTTATTAAACTAGATAATTTGAAATTCGTTTTAGCAATGCATATTGCCGGACAAACAATAATAACTTAAGTGTACCAGAACTAACCAAAATTCAGATGTTGAAGACACCCCACAATGTAGGGATCCCATGCCTAATTCCGTCCCCGTTCTGTCTAGCGATTTAATAGCTGTACTCGAGATTGTCTCCTTGTTATGCCCTCAAGTTCTTATAGTGAAAACAAAGATGCGCCTATTAAGGAAATGGAATTTGACCTAATTATCATATCACGCTCTGACAACGAACATAAGAAAAAGCCACACAGTACGGTCCCAAGAGGCGTGATCTGGTTTCTGATTCCTAACTTTCACCTTCCTGGAACAAAATGCGTAGTCCTCATTGTGTATTTATTACATTATGTTTGTGAATGACGTGACAGAAGAAAGGAATTGTTTGGACGATTATGTGTTCCAGTGAAAGTGGGGGAACGGAAATAGATAATAGTCACGTCACGCCTAAGGTAAACCGCCAGTGGCGGATTTAAACAAGGTTTTCATTATTGATATTTAACTACAGTTTTAGAAGAAGATTAAAATTGCAGTCGGTTGTATAGTTAGATAAACAGTAGGATCTGAGCGCGTGAAGGCGAAGAATGTCCGTTGTTAAAGCCGTTGCCAGAAAAATACAGCTGGTGAAGACATAGCAGGCTGGAAAAGGCTTGACAGGCGCTGTAATGATCTTCGAATTGTAGAGATTAGCATTGCCACTGTGATCACATGTAGTTCCGAGCCTTGTCCATAAATCTAATATCCAATCTATACCTCTTGCAGTCACCCCTAAATCGTGATAAAGTCTTTTCTTAGGTATTGCTAACGTGGCCTTTGAATGCAGACATTATGTATGGCCTATACCAGGGGTCTCCAAACTTTTCGAAACGCGGGCAACATTAGTTAATTCAGCACTTTCAACGGGCCGGATAAAATGAGAAATTAATAGCCCTAGGTATATGCGTCTTATTGAAAGCACAGAATTGCATAAACTAAATACAAAGTACGTGAGAATAAATTATCGTATATTAATGACAACAGACAGTAGCAGCAAATGTTCATATTTTCATCACAAATTATAATAAAGCAGTTAATGTGAATGATTGAACTCTTTTTGTATTCTTAAAATCTGATTAAATTGAGGTTCAAATTTTGAAACGCTAATCACAAGTAGCGACTTTAAATGTTCATCGGATAAATTTGCCCTGTATTTCGACTTGATGTACTTCATCTGGGGAAAAGTTTGTTCACACAGATATGTCGTTCCAAAATGGAGATAAATTTACAAGCAAATTTCTTTAAATTTGGAAATTGCTCAGAGTTTTGAAATTTATAAAATTCGATCAAATTTCCTTCCTTGTATTTGTCTTTAATGTGATAATTTTCCTGAAGTTCCATAATTTCCATTTGAATTTGACTTGGCACATCTGCAGCATCACAGTCAAACAGATTTTGAAGCTATCTAATTTCCTGAGCACTGGCATTCAAATCAGCAAATCGCTTCCGAAGTTGTTCTTTCAAATTTAAAATTTTGAATAATATTAATATTAACATAATATGGAATATCAATATATTTTAAACACAATCTTAATTAATGAATTTGAAATCTATGAACAAGTATTTTCTTTACCAGTACTCTTTGGAAAATTAGTTCAATTGGCGCATTTCTGCACAATTCTTTCGCGGTCCGTAGTTTGGAGACCCTTGGCCTATACGGCCGAAATAAAATTCCTCATGGAACATTTTTATTTATTAAATTTCATCGAAGTCCGTCAAGTAATATGTGAAGGATATGCAAGATGCTGGAAAGGCATTTACTTTGTGCTTTCATTTTATTCTTCGATATACATAGCATATACCGGGTGGCCCTAGAAATTATATTCTTTTTATAATCATGAGAATAAGCGCCTATGCGTATTTGAGTCAAATACGTATAGTGGAAAATACCTGAGTATATGTAAAGGAAGTTTTGTTCAATAAGATTTGAAAATTCACGACGATTGTATATTACAGTAATAGAATTATTGACTCTTTGGGCATTATCCATCGTCCTGGTTTTTATTTAAAAAGACGTTTCGGAGACTGGACTGCTCAGGATATAGCGACCAACTTTTTGAATTGGGCTGAATTCAATAGGCGTTTTACCTGAGTACGGAGCCGGATTTTGGTCTCCGAAACGTCTTTTTAAATAAAATCAGATCCATGGATAATGTTCATAAAGTCAGTAATTGTAAGTTTTATTCAAACAATCTCATTTGTTAAACAGAAAATGGTTTCCGATTTGGGTATTAATACTTTTAATTTCATTTATAATTTGATCGATGATGAAAATGACCACCATTTTGTTTGACCAGGCCTTGAGCTTGAACTGCTCTTTTCCTTTCGTCGATGGTTGATCAGATGTTACTTTGTAATGTGTAAGCCCACGTATTTTCAGTTCATTTTCGTATTCATTCCAGAGACCAGAAGGTAATTCTCTGGTCTATGTTCATTAAGTATTTAACTTCGTTCTAAACACGGTAAAGTAAGGAATGTAAATCCATAGGAATATGTGGTCAGTTCTACGGATTTGGCAAATTCAACTGTAATGTCAGATGCTATGTATATAAAATTGCCTGATTTAATATTAAAAAGGATAATAATTTTCTCTGTAACGAATAAACATAAATCATTAGCTTTAAAGAAGTACAGTCTTTTGGCTCTTTTTAAACACATAGCATAATCGGTATAGCGACTGGCTACGGAGTGGACGATCGAGGGGCTGGAGTTCAAGTCCCGGTAGGGTCAAGAACTTTCTCTTCACCATGTCGTCCAGACCGGCTCTCGGGTCCACCCAGCCTCCTATCCAAATGATACCGGGGGCTCTCTCCCCGAGGGTAAAGCAACAGGGACGTGAAGCTGGCCACTTACTTCCAGCTAATGCCGAGGTGAAGAAAAATGTGGATCTATACGTCCACTGCCCCATACGCCTACATGGCATAGTGCTTGATTAGTTAAGCACAGGAACAACTTTACACATTTATGTTCTACGTAACTTATTTTTTATTGCTAGTGGGGTGGGACTAAGT